TTGAGGGCTGATGCCCTTCTGGTCCGCAGCCACTTTCACCAGTCGATAGCATGGACGTGACCACACTGACAGTAACTTTGCAGCAGATGGGACTTGTCGGCTACGCTGGACATATAAAAAAGGGTCTTGTAGCAGAATGATAAGTTTAAAAATTTCAGGTGCTACTAGAAAAGAATAAAGGGGACCTCTTCCACTCCGGACAGAGACCAGTAAAAAGCTCCAGAACTGTCCCCCTGAAATCTAAGCCTTCAACTGGCTTTTTAAACATGTTCACAGCCGTGCTACCAAATAATCATCATAATTCTTCTCTCAAGAGTCTACCCAGCCTTGCAGCTGATCCGAGAGCAGGCAGGTGCAGAGTATGTCACCTTGAAGGGGGATGAAATGAAAGACCCAACACTGAACCGGAAGCTCTTATGGCCCCAGCAACCTACCACCCACTAGTGACATCTTGGGGCATCAGCACCAAACTTCCTTTAGTCAGAAAGTCCTTACAACCGATGATTTAATTAAGTCCTCAAGATTTGGAATTCCTCTCAAAATGGCTCTTAAGAGTCTACTATCCTCACCTCTTTCTACGAGGGATGCATTTGACTGAGCGCTGTCCCACCTGGGTAGTGATTTATCCCAGCTCTGCCTGGATGTTTCCTGGAATGAAACTCCTTCATGCTGTATTATTCTCAGCCGACCTTCTTCTAAGGCATTACAGCCTCTGAATAGAGACAGTAAAAAAATGCCTGCAAATTGGACTAAACAACCATTTGTTGTCAGGCAGTCTTGATACCATCCATGGTCAGCCCAAGGTTTGAAAAGAAAGTAGCTCAGCTTTCCTAACAGGCTCATGCACTCAGCTGACTAAAAATGTCTCCTCCCATGGGTGTCACTGAAATACAGCTGGTTTCAAGAAAAAGGAATTACAGACGAATTGTAAAAATGAGTGGGGACAGCTGCAGAAGCCAGTGTGAGGGGCTGAGAACTGTAAGGCTGTATTCAGGCTTACTAAATTCAGCACCATAAAAAAACAGGTTCTTGTGGGGCCTGAAGAACAAATCTTACACCAGAGGTAGTATCTCCAGGCAGCTTCTTTCGGGAAGGCGACTGAGTTGCAATCCATCCTGTTCACAAGCCTTTGCTGGAAAAAAATATATAGAGTGTATGGGTGAAAACCTGCCTTCGAGCAAGAAGTCCTAGCTAATTCACGCCGGTACAAACTACCAACAGGTACAGCAACTGACTGTGTAAGTACTGCAGACACAGACACATAAATATGAACCGATTTTTGGTTAATGACACGACACAGTGTACATATTATGTACTTCACTACATGAACACCAAGCTGGGTGTTTGGCTTCTGGATTTCAGAACTTGATTGCTTTAATTTCTGATTTCTTTGTATTACCTTGACCTTCAGTTACTCTGATAATCCCAGAACTACTTATTCTGATAAATTAGCTCACTGAAGTCCAGCTAACAGGACGAAGACACCACATTTGCTGTGCTGATCTAGATGATTTCTTTCAGTAACAAAGTTGATGGCCTTGAAGAAAACCCAAAATTTTCTTCAGAAGGCACATTCTACTTCATCTTTTCATGTTGCTGAGGATTCCCATTTTCCCTGACAATGTTTATGAATACCCAAGTAGGTTCCAGGACACCATTGATGACTGTGGAAGAGCTACGTGAGGGCATTCAGGATCTGTGCTTTTCAGACAACAGCAATTGTGGAGTATGATATTGCCACTTAAGTACCAGTCTTCACGCCAAACCTACTGACGCGTCATTGTAAACGGGTCACATCACTGACCTTCCCCTACTTCTGAGCTGGCGGCTGTGCACAGGGAAACGCACCATCCAGTCTTGCTGGTGGCCAGTGAATCTTTGGAAAACTGACCCTTGTAAGCTTGCTCCGGGAGCAATCTGAAGTCCACCTGGTAGGACTGGATAGAAGGGGTTATAAGGCACCCTAATTCACTACTTGAAAGGCACTGCACATCAAAACAAGCACCAGCTCCACCAGATGACTAAATTAACACCTAAAAGAGAAGGAAGAGAGGTCAAAAATAAGTAAGTGTCAATTAAGCCTTTAAAAATAATAATAATAAAGTAGAATCGAAGAAGTTTGACACATACTTTTATCTACATTTTTATTACAATGAGATGAACAAAATATGAACAAATTGAGGAAAATGTAACGAACATTGCCGGATAACATTCTTAGACATTTCACGCATGCTTTTGAAGACTGCCTTGCCTTGACTTTTAAATACCTCTGGGACATGAATTGTAATTACCACAGATTTAGGAATTTGCCAAGACTCTTCTGAGAAATTCTGTCATTTGAGAAGCATGTTTGTAAGAATCCAACAGAATACTTGAGTAAGGTGCTTGGTCAGTAAACAAATACTAAATAATTTTGCTATCACTTTCCTTTCTAGAAATTTCAAAACAGATTTTAATTGCTGAATTATAAAATTAAGCCGTATGCTTATTTGGAATAGAACACACTACTGTTTCTCCTACAGCTTATTTCCCTTTCCTGAATAAATGAAATAAATCTTGCAGGACAGATCTGCATATAATATTTTAAAGAAGAAATTTGCACTATGAGTTTGAAAAGCCCTTTAAAAGTAAATTTAAGTCTTATCTTTTACACATAGCTTAAAGATGACAAAGAGTGGACTGTAGGAACAGGAGGGTCACCATTAAAGTCTACAGTAACCAAGAACTAGTTTACTTCCTACTGGATTTAAGAAGCTATTTTTCTTTTTTAGGAATTGCTCCACCACTTTTTAAAAACCAAACCCAACCCAAACCTTTTCTACTGATTGTTAAACGCTCGTTAGCACTGAGATACTACGTCTGTGCGTTATAGAGAGACAGCCGCTGGTAAACATTTACTTTAATACATTAAAGTCAATGGCACGAGATTAGTGATGCCAGCTCACACAAACTGTAAAGAAAAAGAGAAAAGCTAAGCATCGCTGTTTTCAGCACAAGTTTGAAACACATGCAATAGGACTAAACTTGCCTTGCATTTCAGTCTTTCCTCGGTTCCTTGCACAAACATAAACTACCAGGGGCACTTCATACACAACCCAGCACACCGGCATTTCCAGCTCAGAGAGGCAAGGCCACTGCTGGAGAGGACGGGCGCGCTGCGTTACAGAACTGCTGCTGGTGGGAAGGCAGCGGCACCAACAGCTCAGCACGTCCTCATGTCCTAACAGGCTGATCCAAGGTCTACCGAAGTCAGTGAGAAGTCTCACCCTCAAAACTTCTCCCTCAACCCAAGTGTAATCAGCTAACTTCAAAGCTTTACAGTCAAATTAAGAGAGTGCTTTTTAATTTTTTTTTTTTTTTAAGAATGCTACAGTTGATACACATCTGCTCGGCCCCACAGTACAAAACCTGTTAAAGTTTAAATCTTTCACACCTCATTCAAGTGCCTTCCTTATATTTTTAAATGATTTGCAAATACCACGCATCAATACCCACCGGTGTTATCATCAAAGGT